GGCCTGCGCGTGGTACGCCCGGGCCAGGTTGCGGATGGAGGCTTCCCGCGGTGGCACCACCGGGCACGGCTCGTGCGAGTCGGGCTTGCGGAAAAACGCCTCCGACTTGACGTACAGCGGGAGGTTGCAGTAGTCACCTGCCGAAGGAAGAGCAGGCAGGTAAGGCTCTGCAGGGACCCTCTTGTCCCCCACCCTCTGGACACGTTGGCATTGGGTGATGGAGAACGCATTGGGCTATGGAGAACCTGTGATGGAGAACCTGTGATGGAGAACGCGTTGGGCTATGGAGAACCTGTGATGGAGAACCTGTGATGGAGAACTGGAGAACCTGTGATGGAGAACCTGTGATGGAGAACTTGTGATGGAGAACTTGTGATGGAGAACTTGTGATGGAGAACCTGTGATGGAGAACCTGTGATGGAGAACTTGTGATGGAGAACTTGTGATGGAGAACCTGTGATGGAGAATGTGTTGGATTATGAAGAACCTGTGCTAAGGAGAACCTGTGATGGAGAACTTGTGATGGAGAACCTGTGATGGAGAACCTGTGATGGAGAACTTGTGATGGAGAACCTGTGATTGAGAACCTGTGATGGAAAACCTGTGATGGAGAACCTGTGATGGAGAACCTGTGATGGAGAACTTGTGCTGTGGAGAACCTGTGATGGAGAACTTGTGATGGAGAACCTGTGATGGAGAATGTGTTGGACTGTGAAGAACCTGTGCTAAGGAGAACCTGTGATGGAGAACCTGTGATGGAGAACCTGTGATGGAGAACCTGTACTAAGGAGAACCTGTGATGGAGAACTTGTGATGGAGAACCTGTGATGGAGAACCTGTGCTATGGAGAACCTGTGCTATGGAGAATGCGGTGGGCTACAGAGAACGTGTTGTTCTACTGGGAGAGAATGTGTTGTGCTATAAATAATGTGTCACATCATCATCCCAAAATTGTCCCGCTCCGCACGAGGCACCGCCTGGGATGCGCCAAGCTCCAGCGTTCAAGGCTGAACACGGTGTCCTGTAACGGATCATGATGTAATAGTGGTAATTCTATAAATGTACAGTGATAAATACTGTAACATGCTGTAACTCTGAATGGAGAGGGTAATAAGGAATTGTAACAGTAACAATGTGATGCTGAAGTTGTGATAGGTGACAGGCACAGATCCTGTCCCATAAAGGGAAATGTTCCCGGTACTCTGTGTGCCGCCAGCACCCAGGGATGTGGTGTGTCCTACACCCAGCTTTACTCTGCCCAGGTGAGTGGCTGTGCTGCCATAAACAACAGCCTCTGCTGTGTGCTGTTATGGCATCATCCATAGTTAGTGCCCTAATTTAAGGGTTTTATGTCTGTGGATGGGTAAGACCCCGTGTTGTTATATGGGCTGTTATCGGTGTTATAGGGTTTTATTTCTGTACCATTACACTGGTCCCTTTGTGTTCTACAGCATCACCTCCAGCTGCAGGGCCTTAATTTAAGGATTTATATGTCCATAGATGTAAAAGCCTGTTATTAGTTTGCCTTTTATATTTGCAATATATAATACCCCTAGACCTAGAGCGTTACTGCTTTAATTGTAGATATTGTGCACTCTCCTCTCTTCCCAGGATGTGCAGGGAATGTATTGCAGGATCTGTGGTGTTAATATAGGATACAGTACATATATATATATATATGGGACTATATGTATTAATACCTGAATTTAAGGAGTTATGGTTATGTGTATATATGTAAAAAAAAATTATACATTAAAAATATAACTTTGTATTTGAAAATGTATATAAATCTATATAAATACATATAATTTTTATATTAAAATATTAAAAAATCTATATAGATATATACATAAATCTCTATAAATATATAAAAAATTACATATAAGTATACATAAACTTATATATAAATGTAGAAATTTTTATATGGAAATATAGAAATTGCTGTATAAAATATAGACATTTATATATCAATGTATAAGAATCGATATCAAGAATATAAAATTTTATGTATAAATATGTTTATATAAATGTATATATTCTCATAAAATATATAAAATTATATAGTTAAATATATAAAAGTTTGTGTATTTTATATATAAATAGAAATATATTTATTTAAACATATTTTATATATAAATGTAAATATACTTATATATATTTAAGGCCCCACATTCTTATATTGTGTCTAACAGGTGTTATATTTGTGTTATTATAGCATTAATGCCTTAAATCCTGTATGCTTTATAATAAGTTCTGTAAATTCTATTTTTTTTAAGATTACAGTGGTGTTATACTGAACACACTCTATGCTACTTAATTATGCCCTAAAAATGTGGTCTAATTTGCAGAGAAAGATGATCCCTTTATATTGTGTGTTTTATAATCAGTAAATAAATTAACCATCAATTCCCACCTATGTATTTTTTAATATCTTCCAGGTATTGTTCTATTTGGAGGTAACAAAACTCATGGGGGGTGGGAGATTTTAGGGGTTCTAGCACTAAGGATGGGGAAGAAAGGAATATCAAGGGAAACTGATGAACACTAAAGCAGGGGGATAAATACTGATAAACACTGAGGAATACTAAAAACAAGGCAGGAAAATAGTGAGAACCCCAAAGAATTAAGGGTCCAGGCCAGTGCTGAAAAATGGGTGGGGGGGATAACAAGGAATACTGATGGATATAAAAAAATGATAACAAATACTAAGGAAGGGGAAGGAAGAGTAAAGAATAGTCAGGGATATTAGAAAATGGGAAGGAACAGAAAAGAATATCTGGAGATACTGAAAAAATGGGATGGAACACTAAAGAATGGAAAAGAATACTAAAAATAACAAAAAGAATAATGAAAAATATCAAGGAATGAGGAAAGAACAGTGAGGAATGCTAAGAAGAGTAAAGAGTAGGCAGGGATACTGAAAAATGGTAAAGAATAATTTAAAAAAACATGGGGAAATATCAAGAGATGTGGAAAAAACAGTAAAGAATAATAACCAATAGGAAGGAATACTGAAAAATGGGCAGGAACAGTAAAATACAGATAAATAAATAAAAAACCACTGAGGTGTGGGAAGGAGTACTGAAGAATGGGGAGACATACCAAGGAAGTGGGGAAAAAAATCCCGGAGATTGGGTGGAATACCAAGGAAAGGATGAAATACCAAGAAATGGAGAACAACATAAAGCAACGGAGAAGAGCATTACAGCACGAGGAGAAATACCGAGAATGCCAAGGAATACAGGACTGGGAAGGCCTCCTAAGGGTTTTGGGAAGCTCTGGGGTGCTGAGGCGGGGCAGGACCCCCACGGAGCCCGTGTGAACCTACTCTTGCTGGCGCGGTGTGGGATGGGCACGGCCACGCCCTTGCCCCGCTCGCTGTCCTGGGGCTTGGGCGGGGAGGCGGTGAAGCGGCAGATGCCGGGCTCGGACGGGGTGCTCATGGAGGTCATGCTGTCGGCGTTGTCCGTGGTGCCCGTGGTCATCTGGTCCGAGGAGCTGTCGGAGATGAAGCACTCGGTGATCTCGAACTTGGCGTGCTGCAGCTGCTCCTCCAGCTTGGCGTGCTCGTAGGCGCGCGCCAGCTCCTCGTAGGTGGACGAGGCGCTCTCCGTGGACACCATGCTGTTCCGCCCCTTGTCTGTGGGGAGAGGATGTGTCACCTATCTGCGAGTTCTCCCTGCCACGGGAATGCCTTTTTCCACCTCATGGGAATGCCCAGGCTGTCCCTGATGGGCTACACCTGGCCACCCTCAAGGCCGGGTTGGATGGGACATGGAGAAACCCGGTCTAGTGGAAGGGTGGAACAAGACGAGCAGTGAGGTCCCTTCCAACCCAAACCACTTTGTTTTTAATGATTCTATCTGCCCCCATGGCTGGGCACGGCCCTGGCTGCTCAGAGCCACCAAGTCACAGTTCCACATTCCCACTGATAAATTCTGCAGTCACCTTGAACTCACAGCTTGGGGTCTGTGTGCCCCAAAGCAGCAGACTCCTGCCAGCAGCAGCGCCAGGGCGGCTGGGGCCCTGCATACCTGTGTCCTGTGAGAGGCTGGCGCTGTAGCTGTCACTCTCTGTGACCGTGATGCCGTGCTGGGAGCCCACTGTCCTCCAGTCCGAGGTGAGGGTCCGTGCAGGGGTGGACGCCTGGCACTTGGTGAGTGTCCACTGGCTGGAGTATCGGTTGCGGGTGCTGTGCGCAGACTTCACGCTCTTCCTCGACACGGGGTCTACGGCACCAAGGTGACAAGGTCACGGTGGGTCCCTTCCACTCCCAGCCAGGGTGCTGTCCCCTCTCCCTGGAGCACTGCCTACCCCTTCTGCCTTCCCAGCAGCTGCTTTAGGGCACGGCCAGTGCTGGAGGACAGTTTCCCCACACCTGCCCCGTGTACAACCCCCAGCACAGCCAGCCCACCACTCACTGGTGCCGGGGCGGATGTCGGACATGTCGATGAGGGGCCCCGTGTTCTGGATCAGGGCTGGGTGGTGCAGAGAGACACCCGTGCAGAAGCTCTGGGGGTTCACTGCCTGGCTGAACTCCGTGTCAGTCACCGGGATCGTGGCTTTGTCATCCCCTGTGGGAGGGAGCTGGAGCTCAGACCTGTCTCTGGCCAGGCAACTGCTGGCCCACACTCAGCCCATCCATGGGACCCCAGCGCTCTGGGGCAGCAGGGGATGGGAGCTTTGCCTGTGCTTACCCAGCTGCTTGATGCCCTCCTTGTCCTCGATGAGGAGCTGCACCCGTGGGATGTCGATGTGCAGGCGGGGGCCCTGTGGGGGCCCCTTCACCGGCGTGTCAAAGCTGCGGTTATTCTTGCTGTGAGGTGAGAGGGGACGCAGACCCGCCCATTACCGGACAGAGCCCCGGCGGCTCCGGCCTGGCACGGGCTGGGGATTGCCACCAGCCAGCCCACCCAGGGCTCAGCTCTGCCCAGGCAAGCTCCAGTGTGAGTGCTGGGACCCTCGGGCAGGCAGGAGCAGCCAGGAGCTCTGGGCTGCTGTGCTACAGTCACTGCCACAACCTTCACAGGTGTGTGAGAAGGTCTGAAACTGACTGAGGGCTGTACCTGGGCTTAAAAGCAGCCATGACCACCCCCAGGACCACCTATTCCCCTGCCTGCCCACCCAGTCCCAGCCACAGGCAGATGTGAGACTCACCTGATCAGCATTTCTGCCAAACTCTTCGCATCTGTGCAGGAGACACAAAAACCAGGAAGTTTATTTGTAAGGGACCAGTTTGGGGCACAATGGGGCAGTCCAGGAACACAACCTGTGCCGTGTGCCGTGCCTCTGAGCCCCATCTCACCTCGAAGCCTCTTCAGCCGCTTCTCCTTCCTCTTCTTGCGGATGATGAAGAGCAGGGCCACTCCCAGTGTGGCCAGGATCACGGGGCAGGCGATGGTGAAGAGCTTCTTCACGTCATCACCTTCCCCTTGGGCAGACTTGATCGGGGGGATGGTGCCTAGGGCAGAGCACGGGCAGGTGGGCACCTGGAGCACCGGGACCAAACCAGTCTGGTAGCATTTCCCAGCCCTCATCCCCACTCACTGCCATCGTAGTCCAGCGTGGCGAACTGCGTGGTCTCGTTGCCGCAGCCGGCGCTGTTGCAGGCCTTCATGCGCAGCTCGTACCAGGTGGCCTCGCGCAGCTCGGTCAAGAACACCTCGCTGGAGCTGTTGGTGCGCAGGCTCTGCCACACCCAGTTGCCCTTGGGCCGGTACTCCAGCACGATGGCGGTGATGGGGCAGCCCCCACTGCTCCAGCCCTGCAGGTTCAGCCTGGCGTGCGTGGAGTTGATGTGGGTGAAGAGGTGCTGGTCCTTGCTGAAGGAGGGCTCTGTGGGAGAGGAGCTGTCAGGAGGCTGGGGAGGGGACCCCCGTGTCCCCCGGCGGGGTGGGGACACCACAGGCCAGGCTCACCTCTGCCGTGGGTCTTGGCCTCGATGATCTCGCTGATGCGGCCGGCGCCCACGCTGTTCTTGGCCGCCAGCTTCACCTTGTACCAGGTGCCACACTTGAGGCTCTCCAGCTTGAAGGAGCGCTCGGAGGAGCTGATAAACACGTCCTTCCACTCCTCGCTGTTGTCCACCGAGTACTGGAGCACGAAGCCTGTGGGAGCAAGGAGGGGGTCACCTCTGGGCACATGGGTGAGGGGAAGGGGCTATGGCTGGCACAGAGCCCATGCCCAAGCCCAGCACAGCCTTGCAGTGCCATCACACACCAGTTCCTGCCTCTCATGAGCAGCGGTGGAAACTGCCTGCTCTGCCCACGCCACGGGAGCCACGGACAAGAGGAGCGTGGGCACACCCAGAACCTCCTGAGAGCTCTGCCAGCACCCCTGGTCACACCTCGCCTGCCCCCAGCACCCCCAGGATGGCCCCGCTGCTCATTTCCACCTGGGAGTGCACGCTGTGATTGACTGGTGCGAGGCTATAAAGGGAAAGCCGGAATTAAGCAGCTCCCTCGGGAGGCTGCAGGGAAGTTGCTTCTGTCATTGCACACCGCCTCCTCTCCCGTGATGAAGAGTATTAGGAAGCACACTGTGTCCTAGATGAGCAAACCTGTTACGCTGCTGTCAGCGAGGCGCCTGGAGACGGCTGCTCTGGGCTTCCCGGGAGAGCACAGGGACACGGGGACAGCCCCAAGGGCATCAGGGCATCTGGGGACAGCACATCCCTGCTGCCCCGGCCCTGCCGACCAAACTTTCCTGGTGCACCGATAGTTTGGCTATTTTTGCAGGATGTTTAGCCAATTCTCAAATAAAAATAGTAGAGAAGAGTAGGCTTCCTGCCTTGCTGTGTGCATAATGAGCTGCACAAGGCAGAGCTGGCAGGATGGCCCCGCTGCCAACACCACCCAGGTACCACCAGTACCAGAGGGTTCACGTGAAGGAGCTCTGTGAGCACCCAGCTCCAGCCCAGGCAGAGCACTGGGGACACTTCTCACACCTTCCCACCGCCAAGGATTCCCTCTGGGATGTGACACCAGCACCTTCCCAAGGCCATGGTTCCCAGCAGTGCCAACACCAGCCCTGACACACCCACACACCCACCCCGGTGCCTGCCACTGCTTATTTATTTATTTTGTACATACGGTGTGTTTTTAATATTTCTAATCCAATTATAACCAAATTTATCAACAGAGTCCGCTGGAGTGAAAGGCTGCTGGCTGGGGAGATTTGCTTGTAATTACTTTCATGCTTTTAATTAATTGTAAGCGAGGTCTCCTTCCTCGCTCCCTGCTCCCCCCTCCGCACGCAGCTGTTTCAACCTATAATTCATGAGATGAATCAGAGCAGAAAGGAGACTTGGGAAAGCTGGAATGCTCCTGGAGCCCTCCCAAAGCCCCCAGCCTGTCAGGGATGTGGGACAACTCCTGCTCTGGTGGGCTCAGAGTGGCACCAATGCCAGGATACACAGAGCAGCACTGGGGCTGGCCACCAGCACCTCAGCACCCAGTGATGTGCCCTTCATTAGCTACCCCAGTAACTTGTCCAAAACACCTCACAAATCCCTCATGAGGGCTGGCAGCCCCTGGTAGGAGCTCAGAGGCATCAACCTTACTCTGCAGCATTTCTGAGGCATTTTGGAGAGGGGCAAATTGAGGTGCAGACACAAAGACGTGGCACAGTGTGCCTGAAAACGTGTTGCATGAGAATGGAACCAGTCATGGCTCTGGGATGAGCTGCTGGCACCAGCCCCATCGCTCACAGCAGCCCTACCTCGGATGGAGCTGCCCCCATTGTCCCCAGGGATCCAGGCCAGCGTGATGGACGATGCCGAGGTCTTGGAGACGGTCAGGCGGGGCTGGTCTGGGGGCACTGGGGAGGAGGGAAAGCCCATGAGCACCTCACACATGCAGAGTGCCCCAAAGTGTGCCCACAAGACGTGGCACCCATCCTGGGCCAGCACCAGCCCCCGGTGCAGGGGGCTGGTCAGTGGGGATGGAGCGTGTCCGTGCAGGGCAGACACGGAGGTGGGACCCCTCACCTTGCACCAGCAGGTTGATGATGATGGTGTCGAAGCCCCAGGTGTTGGTGGCAGTGCAGGTGTAGTAGCCGGAGTCCTCGGCTTTCACCGAGCGCAGCACCAGCGTCCCGTTGGCCTGGATCAGGCGGTGGCCGTCCACTGTCACCGGGATGGCAGAGTCCTCGCTGCCAGGATGAGAGGGGACGCATCAGCCGTGTGTGACACAGCCAGGGCTGGCACCAGCCCCCAGTGCAGCCAGCAGTCACCTCCATACCTGTCCTTGGTCCACTTGATGGCAGGGACCGGCTCCCCGACCGAGTTACACGGCAGCCTCACGTCCTTCATCCACGGCGTGGTGACGGTGCCTCCGAAGGAGATGATCTTGGCGGGGGCTTGGGGGCAAGGAAGAGGTCAGCCTGGGGGCAGGGCCCGTGTGCAGACCCCCCGAGGTGGAAGGAGATCCAGGACCCCAGTGCTGCCCCTCCTCTGCCCTTGGGGTCAGGCAGCCATGGGGCAGGGCACAGCACGGAGGTGTCCCCCGGGCTGGCAGCCCCCCTACCTTTGCCCGCAGGCTCGATGGTCATCTTCTCGCTGATGTTGCCGCGGCCGGCGGAGGTGACGGCGGCCACCCAGAGCAGGTACTGCTGCCCCCGGTTCAGGTGGGCGATGCGGTAGAAGAGCTGGTCCGGGCTGGTCTCGTACTCGCTGGGAGCCTGCGGAGGGGTCCACGGGAGAAGGTGAGGTTTCTGTGAGACCCCCCCAGCCCTCGTGGTGCTCCGTGTTTGTCCCGAGCAGCAGCGGCTCAGCCCCGCTCACATCCCTCAATGCCGGGGAGAGCCGGCTGGTGTCGTGATTCCTCCAGGGAGCCGGGCTGCAGCCCCAGGAACACGCACATCCCTGGGAAAGGATGCTGCCCTGGCACTCTCCGAGCTGCAGCCGGGCCAGCCTGGAGGCAACCCCAGCCGGGCTGGCCCAAACCCTCTGCGGTCACAGCGAGAGGACAGGGGGTCCCCAAAGCCCTCGTGGGGTCACCGTGTCACCGGCCCCGCGGTGGCCCTGCGGACAGGGCTGGCTGTGTGCAAGCACCGGGGCCAGTCCCCACGGCAGCAGGGACAGTCACCCTGCCCCGAGCAGCAGGGCAAGGCTGCCCCGCACAGCAGAGGGCAGGGATGGGGCTCCAGGCCCCCGAGGCACAGGAGGGGTGTATCTGAGTGTGACCAGGCAGGTACCCACGTGCTCACTGCTGGCACACGCGTGCCCTTGCAGGGACATGGATGTCAGTGTACCCCAAAGCAGACACACCTATATGAATATCATATAGTATACATAAATTATTTTTTTTTTTACCCAAATGACAGTTTTGACAAGATGCCAAGAAAACAATATCGGATCCCAGCGGTTTTACCAGTTGCTTTGATGAAAAGATTATGTTGCCCTGGAAACCAGAGGCTCAGATAGTGAAATGAGTTTGAGAAGGAGCTTTTGATAAGCACTAGTCTGCAGACCTCCCATCAACCTCTCCCTCACCAAGGAAGGGGATGGGGCCAGGTTGGATTTCTATTTCATTTTCAGTCAGCTGCTGGCATGTTTCCCCCTCTGGAGCAAGCGCTGAGCAGGGCAGATGCCAGATGATGGGAACAGAGAGATGATGGGACCGTTCCCTGGAGCACAGTGCCCATGGATGCCCTTGGACAATTCCGCAGTGCACCCCAAGAGGTCTTTGCTGCGGCTGCTGCCTGGCATCAGCTCTCCCTCCCGTTCCTGCTTGGCCAGCTCAGCATTCCCTGGCACACTGCGGTGATTCCCAGCCCCATTCCCATCACGTACCGGCTGTCCCGAGCCGGGGCTGGAGCAGAAGATGGTGTACTTCCGAATGATGCCGTTGGGCTTGGCCGGCGGCAGCCAGGACACCACCACGCTGCTGGCAGAGGATGGCACAGCCTTGATCCCAGCTGGGGGACCTGGAACTGAGGAGGGAGAGCGTGGCAGAGCTGGTGCCAGGAGGTCTCCAAGGTCTCTGCCCAACTGGGAGGTGTGATAGCATCCTGGGGCTGGCATCCCAACCCCATCCTGGGGAGCAGCTGCAGTGGTGGTGTCACACACAGGCAGGGACAGGTCTGCCTGCAGGACACCTCTCCACGGGTGGCTCTGGGCCCCACGCGAGCCAGAGGCAGGAGGGTTAATTGCAACCCAAGCTCTGCTTTAGAAATCATGATTGGCTTTTAATGGCCATCTCCTTAATCTGTCAGCCGTGCCCTGCCCAGCTGGGCCTCCCTCCCAGCATCTGGCGCTTCCTAGGACACAGGCCCAGGGATGCTGTGCTAGAGAGCTAATGGCATTAAAGTAGGGCAGGCGGGGTGTAAATATTTAAATATCCGCACTTAAGGAAAAAAAGGGAAAGGGGAATGCCCTGCCCATGGCTGTACACCGGGGGTTTCCCCTGTGCCCCAGCAGCCTCTCCATCCCTTTGGCAGGGGCAGGTGACACTTACTGTCCTCCTTGGTCTGGATGTAGAGCACGCTGCTGCGGACACCGTCACCCGCCTGGGTGTAGGCCAGCACCTGCACGCTGTAGTTGGTGAATTTCTCCATTCCCCGCAGCTCCACCCGCTCCCTCGTGGTCGTGATGTTCTGCATCTCGCCCCACTCTGCAGGAGACAGGGCCTGTCAGCCCCTCCCTGTGCCCCCACATCCCCCCCGTGTCCCCTGCTCCCCACGTGTGCTCACCTCCGTCCATGTAGAGGGACCAGAAGATGACCCGGTAGCCCTTGAGCACCCCGTTGAGGGTGCTGCGCGGGGGCTCCGACCATGAGATCACCGCCACATCCGACGTGATGGAGATGGCCCGCACGTTCTCGGGGGGCTGGCTGGGAACTGGGGAGGGATGAGGAGGGCAATCAGTGGGAGGACAGCGATGCCAGGCTGAAGGAGCCGTGTCCCACACAGCCGCACCCTGACTGCACCCACATGGACCCCGCTGTGCTGCTGGAAGCCCTCAGCCAGTCCTGCCCAGCAGAGCTGTGCCTCCAACATGCAGTTCTCCTTCTCCTGGGCCAGCGAGGTGGCTGAGAACCCTGTGCTGGTGGTGACAGGGAGGATGCTTCCCAGCGAGGGGAGAGTGGGAGAGCTGGCTGGATGCGAGGTAATTAGATCCCATTGCCCCGCAAGAGGTAACTCTAATTTTTATGAGCATTTAAATGATAATACATCACCATAACGATCCTCTTTGAAAATGATTATTGTTTCATATTACTTAGGTGCAAAAATATAAGCACCATGTAATTAGGGACAGAGTATAATAAACTAATACAGATAGTCCGTTTGAACAAAATGAAGGTAATATAATTATGGAAAAGACACTATTGCTAAAACAGGGGCCCTTGAATACCCCGGGAGGAGTGCTAATGCAGCCAGGAAACGATTGCGGTTTGACAGGCTAACGAGAGCCTTAATTAAGTATGAAAAACTGCTGAGCAAACGCGCTGCAAAACTTTTTCCTCATTGTTTTTAAAATGACCGAGACCATCAGCGACCGTGTCCCAGAGGGAATCCTGCCTGGCACTTCAGCAGTGCCAAAATCCACCCTGCACCCTTTAGCTGTGCCACAAACCCAGTGCCACAGGTGTCCTGGCACCCCCGTGCTCCCAGTTCCTTCCCAGGGAGCTGTGAGGACACACACAGCCACACCCCATGTGTGGGACAAACAGGGATCAGCTGAGGGTCCCCCAGCTGGGACCTGGCCCTGGGGACCAGGGGGCCCGTGTTGGTCACTGGGCCATCCTCACCGTCCTCCAGCGTGGTGGCGTTGATCTCGCTGGACGAGGGCCCCGTGCCCGCGCGGTTGAAGGCCTGCACCACCACCCCGTACTGCGCGAACTTCTTGAGGTTGTCCAGCGTGTAGACCTCGCTGTCCCCCGTGGCCTTCATCTCCACGATGCTGTACTGCCCGTTGCTGCCCGGGCTGTTCTCCCGGTAGCCAATCTGGTAGCCACGGATCACCCCGTTCTGCAGCTCCTTCTTCGGGGCCTGAGGGACAACGAGGGCAGGACAGAGAGGTGTCACAGGGATGGGAGGCTCACAGGGCTCTGTGCCCCAACCACCTTTCCCCAGTGGCTTTTCTCCAGGCTTTCAAGTTGTTTTCCCTCCCCTCTTTTCACTCAGAGCCACCAGAGAGGAAAGTGCTGCTTGGCCACCAGCAGTCCCCAACTGGAGCAGGAGAAATCCAAAGTCTGGCAGCCTGAGTGGCCAGATTGAGATCAATCTTAACAATATTTCTCTGAAGCATTAAGAAATCAATAGGGTTGATTGCAAATTTATGTTACAATGCCAGGGCGATCCATCTTGCTGAAATACTCCTAAAACGAAGTGACTTATCTTTCAAGTGAATCTTACTTTTCATTAATCTGTTTTTCAGTGCTTAAGGGGAGGGGGGAGGAGAAGCTGGAACCCTAAATTTATTGACTTAGCAGTTCATTCCCAAGTTCTAACTTTATAATCAATTTTATTTTTCATTAGGCAGCTTTGGAAAAATAAATCCAATTCTAAGTTTTATTGATCTCCGCTCAACCACTTTGCAACCCAACACCTCGGTTTTTACATATTTATCCTCTCTGCCCCATGGTCCCCCATGGACACCCTATGAGATAATAAGCTTGTTGTAAAACATGATTGATAAGAGCCCCAGGCAATAAGGTGAGCTGCTTTCCCAGCCTCCAGGTTTTCCTTTTTCCTGGGGAATTCTTCCTGATTCTTGTAACACTGGGTCTCAGGACAAGCTGGGACAGCATTTGGCCAAGCCCTTGTGGCAAAAAAAAAGCCCCCACACCACCCCTGCCTCACTCACCTTCCAGGTGACCTGGATGCTCTGGGACGTGATGGGCTGCAAGGTGACATCCATCGGAGGGCCATCGGGAGCTGCCGAGAGACAAACACAAAACAGCATGTTGAGAAGGCTCAGGAGCCCCTCAGCAGGAAAACCCCTGGCTTTAGGAGAGCTGCACCTCATCCAGCCTCCCCCCAGGCTGCAGCCCCCGTGTTCCCCCTGCCCACCATCCCCACCAGGAGCACAGCGTGGCACCTGCTTCCTCGGTGCTGATGGTGAGCTCCTTGCTGGGCTCGCTGCGCCCGATCTTGTTGAAGGAGTACATGCGGATGCTGTACACGGAGGCGGGGTGCAGGTCCACGATGTTCGCCTGGTTGATGGTCGGGGAGATGTTGCGTGTAGACTGCTTGAAATCCCAGGAATCTGGAAGAGTGGTGGAGCGAGGCAGAAGAGTCAGAGCCTGAATCCCGTCCAGGGCTGGCAGTGCTGAGGGGGCCGTGCCCAGACAGGTGAGGTTCCCCAGGCACCCCTGCTCTTGCACCCCTGGAGAGGTGCTGCTGCTTCCCCCTCTCGCTGCCATGCGTTGGGGTTCAACTTTTTGCAAATATTGTCTCTTTTCATATTCCCTTTCAAATGCTCCCATCCAGCAGAAATTACCATATTTCATTAATGCCGCTCTCTCCTTTCTTCATCAAAGGAACCGGGTTGCAGAATATTCCCTTGGAGGCACCGGTGGGGCAGTCCCACACCTGTCTGTGCAGGCCAGCCCCCAGCCCCACTGTGGCTTGGGGAGGGGACATCACTGTCACCTACCTGACTTGTTCTTGTACTCGATATCGAAGCCGGTGATGATGCTGTTGCCGTCGAACCGCTGTGTCCATCGCAAATTCATACTCCGGGCTTTCACCTCACGGATCTCCAGCTCCGGGGGGTCAGGGGGCTCTTGGGAACACGCAGGCAGGTTAGGGACACAGGCAGAGAAGGCCCCCAGGAGCAGGGGCTTTACACTGCAGGGCTCAGGCAGGGGGCATGGAGTACCTTGGACAGTGAGCTGGATCAAGCCTCTGTCCTCGCCGTAGGAGTTGATGGCGTGACAGGAGAAGAAGACAGAGTCCCCACGGTCGGCTGGTTTCAGCTGCCAGTGTTCCAGGGAGAGGAGCCAGTTCAGACTGAGCTACTGTCCCCTGCCATCACTGCCTGCTCCCACCACAGAGCCACTCACTGGAGCTGCCATCCCTCCCCTGGCACCCTTAACACCCCACCCCTCTGGGCTCAGCTCTGCCACTCAGGCAGCCCAGTGCAGCGCCAGGCTCTGTGACACCCATGGGGACCACCACACCCTCCCCACACCTTCCCTCCTTCCCTCCAACGCCCAGCGAGACCCCCCGGCAGCCCAGGCAGGTGCAGGACCCCCAGCCCTCACCTTGAGGGTGGAGATGACCTCGTCCCCGTTGTCCTTGGTGGTGATGGCGTAGCGCATGTTGCGGTCGGGGTCGATGACGGTGTCCCCCTTCTCCCAGCGGATGATGATGGGCCGCTCGCCCCGCGCCGTGCAGTTCAGCTCCTTGGTCTGGCCCTTGATGGCGATGGTGGTGTTGGGGTGGGAGGTGATCATGGCAGGGACTGTGGGGACACAAAGCATCACTCGTGTGCCCGGGGGACGGGCAGATCCCACCTGTGGCTGCCTGGCCCCACAGAGCCCACAGACCCACCGAGGACACGGCGCATGCGGCTCTCACCGAGAGGCCCCGCAGCCCGAAGCGGAACCGTCTCGCTGCATTATACAGCTCAGGATCATAAAATAATGAAGCAGATAAATTTTATAATGCATAGCATTACACCGGGGTAGACAATAAAACGTGAAAGACAAATAACCAAGTGCACACTATAATGAAGAGAAAGCCTCCAGTCTGAGACGTGCGGGTATGAATTATTGACTAAGGTTTTACACTCCCGAGGATGAGAGGAAGAATGTTTTCCATCACGGATTTGCATAATTCACTCGTATAAACCTGGGCAGAATACAGAGTGTGATTTCCCATCAGCAAGGCTGCCTTTGCATTGCAGATGCCAGAGATGATTTTTTTTTTTTTCACAGTCACCCCAATATGCAAACGGGGTCAGTGGGGACACCCTGTGCCGTGGTCACCACCACAGAACACAGAGGTGCTCGAGCAGTGGGTGCAGCGTGGATGGGGAAGCCTGATCCGTGCTGTGAGGGTGCTGTAATGACCCCTGGCCTGGCTCTTCCCTGCTCCAAGAGCCAAGCCCTTTGTGCCACCCCAGTGCCATGCAGCGGCTGTGGCAGGCACCACACAGGAGGAACGGGCTGGAGGACCCAGGGCAGGCTGGGTAAGCAGAAAAAAATGTAATGCATAAACAAACAGCAGTGCTGAGTCCTGCAGTAATGTATGATAATGACAATCCGCAAAGGCAACACACACTGTTCTAATGGGACACAAGAGGCTCTAATGAGCTACGACTCCTCGGCTTTCTGTGGCAATGTAATTCAATTAACAGCGAAGGAAACCTTTCCTCCTGAGCTGCTGGAGTGTGTGGGGTGCAGGACAGTGCAGTGCCCAGCCTGGGGCCCATGTGACAATCCTGCCCCAAGGGGAGCACGGCACCCCCGAGCTGGCAGGGGATGGCAAAGAGCAGGGATGTTGTGGCAGTGCAGCCTGGAGCACCAAGGGTTACAAGAAGCAGTCCAAGGTTTCTCCTAACTCTGTCCTGTCCCATCCCCAGCTGCCTGCCTGCGTTCTGACACCTCTGCCTGACAGACAGAGGGACAGAGGCAGGCCTGGGAAGGACTGTCCCAGCCCCAGCATCCCATGTCCCATCGGGGTGAGGACAGAGCACAGGGACAGCTCTTGCACTCGCCCCAAAGCAGGGCTGACTGCACAGCACAGGGGCACAGCACAGCTGGAAGAGGGGCTCAGCACCCAGTCCTGGCACCATGGCAGGCCTTGCCAGGCCCACTGTCCCCTGCTCCTGCCGTGGAAAACCATCAAGGGTCCACCCTGCAACGTGGCAAACAGGGACACGGTGTGTGTGGTCCCTGCACTCACTCAGCACAGCAGCAGAGGGTGTGTGGCTGTGGGGCTGAAGGGGCAGGACAGCCCCACAGGGCTGCAGCAGCCTCGGCTGCCCTGGCCCCTGCCCAGCCAGCAGAGGCCCCGGGAGAGGAGCTCCGTTTCAGGCTCTGCTTCACTGAAATGCACTTATTGATGTTTGATTAAAAGCAGCTCCTTGGATGTAAACATATCAACTTCTCTCAATTGCCAGGGTCCCAGGGGAGCTGCACGTAGTCCAGAGCAGGAAAAGAGCACAACAAACCCCAAGAAAACCCCAAGCAGCTGTGAGGATAGCACAGATTGGGGCACTGGTGCCCAACACCTGCCCTGGAGCAGCTCTGCAGCTTGCAGAGGGACAAGATTGCTTGGGACTGGCTGCAGGGACCTCCAAGGGTGGCTGGGGGCTGCTCCTGACCAGCCTGTGATCCCTTCCTGGGTGCAGGGGCATCAGTAATGTGCCATCAGCCACAACTCAAGCTCTGGGCAGACAGGCTTCCTTCGAGGAGAGCTCACCACCAACGCCTCCTGTGCCCTCCTCTCTGTGCCCACCAGGGCCCAGCCACCCAGCCAGGCTCTCCCTGTGCCCACGGCCTTGTTAACAAGGCCACAACCAGAGGCTGGTCCTGCTGGCTGGGCACAGATAAGCCTGGGAACAAAGGAAGCCGGCAGGCACCGGCACACTGCCGTCCCACAGCTGGCTGGGGCACGAGCCGCTTCGCAGAGCGCCGGTGACAACTGAATGAGAACACTGACAAGGGTGACAAGGGCTGTGCCTGCCTCCCTCGCCCCCCTCTTTCTTGTTTGGAGCTGGCTCTGTGATGTTAATTTGATTGCACCCGTCTCAGCTTCCTTTCTACACTGATTAGCTGAGTTTCACCTGAAGCATGAGATTAATTCAAATTGCATGGAAGCAATCAGTTATGCTCGTGCTGTGTGGCAGCGAACTTCCAAAGAGGGCTGTGCCACGACCACAGACAGAGACCCCTGTACCTGCCCCTGGCTGGACCCCTGGCATGGGGGTGCTGGCACGGAGCAGGAGGAGCCCCCTCCCCAGTGCCCAGGGTGCTGCCGCTCCTGCACAGCTGGCAGGAGCCTCGGGGACGTGACTGTCCCCATCGCACACGCTCCTGACACCCGTGCAGGTGTGCAGCCATGTGCTAAATGGCATTTATCACGCGCTGCTGGGCCCCTCACCTGCGCCCAGCCCGTCCCCTTGGGCACACTCAGACACTCCAGCACTGCGCCCCGCTGCATGCTGCTGAGCTCCTCCAGCAGGAAAGACAGGCTGCCATGGTGTGAGAGCCCAGGGCCACGGCACCCAGGGACAGGGTGGCCTCAGCTCCATGGATGACACTCCCCAGGCAAATGTGGTTCCCCACCCACCATCCCCTGGCAAAAGCAGCATCCAGCTGCTCCTGGCTCTGCCAAGTGCATGGAACTCAGCCACACAGTGTCCAGTGTGACCTGGCTGTCCCAGCTCAGCCCCTTGTTGCGGTGTCAGGGCAGGGGATGTGTGACACCAGCTGGCCGTGGCACTGCCCTCTCCCCTGCTGACCGCCAGCACGCTTTGTTTGGGCTCTGATTAACTCTCATTTAACTCAGTCCGCAGCGGCCTGACTTTCAGGGAAAGCCAGTGCTGATCTCCCTTTAATTGGGCTGACATTTCACTAAACAAACAAAAACCCTGAAATGAAACAAAACAAAGAGCCCATCTAATGCTTAATTGGCTGTGGCGCTTCGTCTACCTATTCATCCAAACCTTTTCAAAGGCAGCGAGGGCTCCGGGAGATGCAAAAGCACTCGCATAATAAGGTTATGTGCTATTCAAGTCAGCAAGCAACCTGTCCTGGGATGCAATTACAGGAGATAGCAGGGACACGGCACCAGTTCGGGCTCCCAGACTTCGCATGCTCACTCGGGATTAATCGCCTCGACTTTGTACCTGCACCTCATTGAAGTGCCTTGTTTGAAGTGGCTGGGTTTGATTCATCAGTTGGAGGGATAAATTAAACAGCTGACAGGGAGGGGAACAGGAACCTGGGAAGGCAGAGGCTGGGTTGGGGAGGGGAGAAGCCCCTGAGAGAAACAGCTGCTGGTGTTGGGGAAGAAAGGGAGGGGAGGCCAGGGCATGGTGGTGAGCAGAAAAGGCTGCATGTCCCCTCTGCCCACAGCATCCTGGGTGGGCAAGCAGGGGCTGGTGGCTCCCACGGCTTCACCAGCAGCCTCCATCCCCTCTGGCACAGCATGCTCACTGCCTCATTTTCCCAGCATGGTCAAGGTAAAGTTTAGCCCTTCTGAGGCCAATCCTGACCCCGGGCCTGCCTGGAGACAGCAGGAATGAGGGTGATGGCTCTGGACCCCCTCCACCACCTCCTTTTGGAGGTTTGAATGCTCCCAGCAGCAACGAGCCCAATAACTAACACGGAGCTGGCAATTACACATTCTGCTGATAGCAACGGGAGAGCAATCCAATAACACACACAGTTCAAACACGGTGTCTAACAACACTTCCCAGCCCATCCCTGTCAAAGCAGCCCAGCTATTTCCTTTCCTCCTGGATGATGTAGATTGATTGCCTGGTTTTATTAAAGACAAAGTGTGTTTAATAGCAAAAGGGAAGCGGGTCCCTGGAGGGGAGGAATCAATGCCCTCCCGTGCCCCGCATTGATCGTGGGGATGCTCAGAGCCAAGGCTGGAGCACGGCTAGTGTGGTTGGAACCCTCAGAGCAGAGAAGGAGGCAGCACCAGACCAGGCTCTGCCACAGCCACCGTCAGCTGCCCATCTCTGCTCCCCTGGTCACCACCGTGGCCATGCCAGGAGCAGGTCCCTGCCCCACATAACCCTGCAGCACAGCCCTGGGCACTTACTCTTGACAGTGAGGAACATGGACTTGCTGATGTCTGTGCCCACGCCGTTGCTGGCCTGGCAGAGGTAGTAGCCGATGTCCTCCTCCAGCACGTGGCGGATGAGCAGGGAGCTGTTGGGCAGGATCTGGATGCGGCCCGTCAGGGGGATGGGGTGGTACTGCTGGGGGTTGCCACTTCCTAGGAGGGGACACAGAGACACAGAGTTCAGCTGAGGCAGAGCAGCTCTCATGAGGCTGAGAGCTGGGGTGGCCGTGCCCAAGGGACGCTCCCCAGTCTGCACATGCTGCCGTGACCCATCCCTACCTTTAGCGTGCTTCCACATGACTTTCGGAGGGGGGTACCCATCGACAGAGCAGTTCAGCACCCCGGCTTTCCCATAAATGCCATCTTGGTTGTTGGGTTGGACCACAAAACGAGGAGGCACTGAGGAGTTTTGGGAGAAAGGACGGTCACTGCAGGAAAATCCCCATCAGATCCCTACAGCTCCCCACTGCCTGTGGCCACAGGGGTGCCGTGGCTCAGCCTCGCTCCTCACCCTCCCAAATTCCCTCAGCTCCCCGCTGTGCTGCTCTCCCTCCCTTTCCCCCTGGGTCCAGGTGGGATGCAGGTGGGATGCAGGTGGTGGGGTCACCCCCAGGCTCACCCCGCACGATGAGCTGCCGCTCCCGGCTGACGGTGGCGGCGTCGTTGCTGGCGATGCAGGTGTAGTTCCCGTTGTGCTTGAGGGAGACGCTGGAGATCTGCAGGGAGCTCATGAACTCCTTGCTCTCGATGGTGACCCCAGAGCCAGAGAGGATGACGTGCCCGTCCTTCCTCCAGGTGATGTGGATGGGCATGTCCCCAGAGGAGACCACGCAGGGGATGTAGAGGAGCTGTCCGATGGAGGCTGGCGGGAACTCGAAGGGCTGGATCAGTGGAGGGACTGTGGAGAGGAGAGGCAGAAATGCTGGAGAGCCCGGCCCAGGAAAGCCTTCCTTCAGTGGGAATGGTCTGCAGTGGGGCTTGGGGAAGATATCCCAGCAGGAGAAGCAGCCCAGGAACTAAGACAGGCTTTTGATTCCTGGGAACACGGCCAGGGGTCAGCAGGAGGTGCCAACAAGCGGAGAATAGCAGGAAGACTTCTCCCACCTGGCAGGGCCACCCTGCTGAGAGTGGGATGGAGAAACGCTGACCCTGCACTGGGGAAAGCCCCAGCCACCCCCAGCACGTGCCACCCAAAATTCCACCTCAGCATTTATCCACTCCCAGAAAAGCCATTATTAGATGGATGCTTTTCTTAAAGGCACTGGATTCAGAACCAGCCATTATCTTTCTGATAACTTAATTAGGCAACTGCAGCATCTCTGGCAATGTGGGAGGGGGAAGAAAGCGGAGAGAGGGAGACAATTAGCTTAACAAGGCTCAGCACCTGGTAGATGAGATCCTCATTCTGCAGTCTCCATAATTAAATTAGCAGCCTGCCAATTGTCCCTTTGGCAGTAGGGAGCTGCCCTCTCATGCAGGCACGGGGCAGTTCCCTGGACCCCCACACACCTCCCTGGGCTCCCACCTCCACCCTGTGTCCATCCCATCACTCATGCCTTGGCACTGCTGCCTGGTCTGGAGCACGGCAAGCAGAGGCTGTCGCTGTACCCAGGTGGGAGCCACTGCCAGGCAGGTACAGGCAGGGCTGGCCTGTCCTTCTGCCGGCAACGTGGCTTGAGCTGCCAGAGCCATGGAGCCAGTGCTGCCTGTTTTCCATAATTAATGAATAATTAATTGGGAATGCACTGCAGTCTATCGCAGAGCGGGGATGGGCTTGTGGATCCGCGCCTCTCCAAACACGCCCCTCCGGCCGACAGCCAAGCTCTCCCTGCTCCAGCTTCCCACAAACGGAGCTCACAACTCCCTTTTCCTTTCCAGATCGCTTCCCACCGCGATTCTCCTCTCTCCAGAGCTTCCAGGCTCTCGCCTGGCCGCAGCCTGGAGCACCCTGCCCATGGTGCCAGGGCAGAGCCCATCCCAGCAGCTCCAATCCAGAGGTGACCCTGCCAGCAGCCTCTGCCTTCCCGTGGGGTGAAGCATCACCCCACAGTGCCCCGGCCCTGCGTGAGCCCCGCGCTCCCCAAAACGCTGCAGCCACCCGAGCAGAGCTGTGTGGGAGCCCCAGCATGGCACCAACCCACATGGGATTAATTAAAACCTTCCAAGATGTCTGCAGGAATAAGGAGCTGTCAGGGCACCTTGGAGGAGGGAGGCTGGATTTTGGATTGTGCTGCTGGGGAAGTGCAGGGAAGAGGCCTCAGCTGCACCCCCCATCAGCAAAGCCCTACAGAGTGGGGAAGGTTTGAAACTGGGATCCTGGAACTCCCTGGCTAGGCAGGAGCAGCTACACCTGGGCAGGAGTATATCCCTCAGCACAAGATGGGGATGATCCCTCATGAACAGGGCTGGGGCTGCCTGCACATCCCTGTTCCTGGGGGGAGCAGTGCCAGAGGGAATTGTAAAGCTTTTACTGCTGCGTGGTTGGAAGAACCTGCATAACTCACTGGTGGCATTTCATGTGGTCACCAGGCACTTGGGGCTGTAAAAACTTTATGGTGCTCCACGCCACTCCATGCTCCTTGTGCTACACAGTTATGTTTATTCACTCTCTGACTCTCTTCTAGGCCCCTTGCTATTCTTTTCCAAGAAAACTGTGGCCTTTTACCCAAGGGCCAGAGGAAATGAGGAATTCAGCCAGCAGGACTGGGTGTAAATCTCCAGCAGTGGAATGAAGATGTCTGGCCCGTGCTGCACCATGCTCCAGCCTGCTCACCTACCTCAGCCCATCACTGGCCACTGATGGAGGCAGCAAATCCACACTGGGAAGGGTTCAGCAGCAGCTGCTGCCCAGGATACACAAATCCTCAGCTGAACTTCAGCACCCTGCACCCTCTGAGGGCACCTCCCAGCAAATCCCACAATTTGACTGCTCACAAACACTCTGAGGTGATCTCCCCACATCAGCCCTGCCTGTCCCATTGTCCCAAGACACGATCAACCTCTCTGGCCTCTTCCCAAGCCCAGGGGCTCCACATGGACAGAGATTTATGTGAGGAAAGCAGGGCTGGCCAAGCCCTGCAGACCCCAGGGGCACAAAGACCTCCCTGCATCACCCTCAGACAGGTTATCCACAGCCTCCTCTCCCCTCTGGAAGCCTTGGAGAAGGGCATTAGCTAATCAAGTGGTAGCATCTCTAATCAGCTTGATGCGCTCTCTCGCTAACCTGATTCCTAATAAGAAAATGGTGGCTGGGAAGGGAGGGAGGGGGATCAGAGTAAATCCAGTGCACCAATCCCCCGCTGGGTGAGAGGCAGGATGACAATTGGCCGGCTCTGTCCCCAGCGCCGCCGTGTTTGTCTGAATGATTTACTGCAAACACCGAGCTGGCGATGGGTGGAGGCGACCCCACAGCTCCTGAGGACGGGAGATCCGGGAGCACCGCGCGCTCCCAGCGCAATCTCAGCCAGTCACTGGGAGGGAATGCATCCGGCTCAATTCATTAGGACTGATAGCTCCCTCAATGGGGCTGAATAATTGATGGCCTGGAGAAGCTTTTAAGATGTTCTGTGTGCTCGGAAGACCGAAAGTATTATTTTTTTAAAAGCTAGCACACACAGAAAAACATCGGTGAAGGTGATCCAAGCAAAGGTTAGATGTTTTAATACGTTATGTTTACACCATAAATCCTTGCTCCATCACTTGTAAGGGGAAATGGATACGGCGTGGCTCGGGGCAGCTGCCGGCGGCAGGCAGGACCAGGTAGCCAAGCCAGCTCCCGTGGGCCCGGTGACTACAGAGCACAGCCACCACCTGGCCACGCAGCTCCCCATGTGGTGCTCCTCCTCCTCCTCCATCCCACTGCAGGGAGATCCCAAAAGCCACCTGGGTGAGCTCTCCCTGCCATGCAGGGGCAGCGTCCCCACCCTCTCACCTTTGACAGTGACGTGGACGCTCTGGCTGATGGAGAGCTGGGGCTGGATCAGCACGCTGCACAGATACTCCCCTTCATCCATGCCCTTCTGCACATCCATCAGCTTCAGGGTGCCGTTCTCAAAGACCACTTGGCGGTGGTTATCGGGCAGCAGCAGGGAGTCCTTGTACCACTTGATGGAGTAATAGGGGTACCCGATGACCCTGCAGTTGATGAAAGTGTCCCTACCCGCGACCGCTGTTATGTTCTTCATGGCGCGGATGCTCGGGGGACCTACATATTCGGGAGGAAGGGAGAGGCAGGCTAGGTTAATTCCGAAGGGCCTCTTGCTTGCATGCAGATCTGCTGCTACTCCGGAGCGAGCTTCCCAGGCAGAGGAGGTGACCAGGACAGCCGGGAGCCAGCCTGCTTTGGGTGAGGAGGTGGCACGGGCTCCGCTCAGCTCGTGTGGGGACAGCCGCTCTCGGCTGCGACCTCCAGCTACAGCTACTCTCCCTCACCTACCAGCAGGGCCGTGCTCCTGGGGCACAGCCACACTTCAAACAGCAAATCCCACCCCAGCCTGGGGGAGCTGAGCCCGCGCACTGCTGCTGCCCATTGCGGGAGGTCGGGTGGTGTCTGTGTTTCTGCACTGGGCACCAGAGACATGGGAGAGATGGGGAGAGCTCCCCCACCATCACAGCCTCTCTGCCTCTCCCAGGAGGAATCTGCCTGCATTGTGCCAAACATCCTTGGCAAGAGCTTCTATGAAACCTGACTTCCACTGGCAAAAACATTTCACTTCCCTGAGCCCCACATTTCTGTGCCCCCCACTGCCAACCTGTGTGTCACTGAAAAGCCAGACAGCCACCAGTTTGTGTCTGGCTTTGGAGAGGCCTGAGGACTGGGAAAATGCTGCAGGTGAGCCTTTAAACGAGAGGTTTCATGCATCAATAATTACATTGTTCTCCCAGCCGCTGCATAAAATAGCGAAGTAATCTAAAGATTAACCCTGTCTTGACTCCTCATCCTGAGGGTGTAGCAGGATAACAGCTTAACAGGCACTCAGGATCAGCTGATGGACGGTGTTCCTCATTCTAGGACACATTAAGAGAAGGAGCAGGAAGAAAGGAATTAGCATCTCGCTCCGTAACCATGTCTTGGGCCTGTCTGAGGGACATGCTCTGTGCCACTGAAAAAGAAACTCGAATCTTATCTAGTGACAGCCCATCAAGAGCTGAGAGAGGGGAAAGAGGGAGACAAGGGAACATCCTCATTGAAAACGCTGCTCTGGCTTCTCCTGGCTGAGGGATGAACTTCCTCCAAATTCAGCAGTAAACGGCAGCAAAATTCCGACTCTCCTGGGATCCCAGCCAAAAAGCCACTAGATCCATTTCAAACCTGAGACACAGACAAACACAGCCCTTCAACCCTCATTCTCAGCAGACAAATAAACGCTCCCTTATCTTGTCTCGCTCCCACCTGTAAGCCTGGGAGGTTTAATTGGGGATTATTAATGGGCAGGGGCTTACACCGTACCCCGTGCCTGAGAGCGCTCCTCGGAACACACCGAGCAGCGCGCTGCAGCCGTAATAACACGGTGATTAACGCGGCCATGGCTTTTAGCAGACAAAGAAAATGCAGACATGACAAATCAAAGCTCATTTTCCACGATTTCACGTGCTGCCTCATCATCGTTTGTCACGGAGGTCCTGGTGCCTTGGTGGCTGCCGAGGAGTGGGGCTCCCGTAGGAAATGGGGGTAGCTGGTAGAGCACAGGGGACCTGGGACACTTCTGCGCCTGCCACCTCCTCCTCCATGCATGGGGTCCCTCAGGGGGTGCCTGCCCACCCTGTGTAGACCCCAAGGCAGGGTGAACGGACCTCAGTGCTGCCCTGGGACTCCTGCAAAGCCAAGCTCCAGTTCTCCGAGCCCCTGGAACTGCTTTCCACTTTGTTGAACTCCCTGCTTAAAGCATCAGAGGAGCTCAACCCTGCAGGTGTGGGAGGAGCGGGGCAGGGCTCAGGAAACGAGGCTGGGGTAGCCAGGGAGACCCACACGGCCGGGAAGAAGAGGGAGAGGCGAGGAAGAGCGATCCGTCGGGGAACAGAACCAAAACCAAAAAGCCCAGTAAAAGTCCTATTCTGATATTTAAAAGTAGACAGGCACCTCTTACGTTTATTCGCGCTTGGTATTCGGCGCTGCCCACCGAGTTCCGCGCGGTGCACCGGTACACGCCGCCGTCCTTGATCTGCGGGCTGGTGACGTTCATGTGGCTGACGGTGGTGCCATCGGACATGGTGTACTGGTTGGAGCGGTGCCCGCTGTCCCGCGGGATGGGCTCGTCGTCCAGCGCCCAGGTGACGGTGGGTGGCGGGGCCCCCTTGGCGGCACACATCAGGGAGAACTGCTCCCCGGGGTTGACCACCTTCTCGCTGAAGGAGGAGACGATGCGGGGGGTCCCATCTGGGGGGCACCCAGCGGGACGGGGGTCAGGGAGCGGCAGCCGCAGGCAGCAGCAGTCACCCGCCAGCAGGATGGCACTGAGCTCCCACCCCAGGGACAGGAGCCCCGCTGGTGACACACACATGGCTATGCTGGTGTCCCTCTGGGGCAGGGAGATGCAGACAGGGGACACGGTGGCTGATACAGATGCCAGCTTGAGGAGACACCTCCCTCAGCAGAGGCCATCCCTTCTGCAAACACTCGGTGGGCTGGATCAGGGTTGGCTGCCTGGTGAAAATGGCAAACCCAGGGGCTGGGGATGGCAAGTCAACACTTATTTTGGTCCTTCCCCGTCCATGCCACGCTGCGTCTCTGCACGCAGAGCCCAGGAACAGGCTGGCAGCAGCCTCAGGACCCCCACCCCAGTGGGTGTCCCTGCCCCCCAGCCATGCACAAAGCATCCCCTCAGAGAGGGGCAGAGGAAGAAGCCCCCAGCCCGGGAAGCCGGCTCACCCTCCAGCGTGATGATGGAGAAGTCCTGTGCCGTCTGGGACTTGCGGGTGGCGAAGCACTGGTAGGCCCCGGAGTGGCTCTTCTGGGCGGCCGTGATGAGGAGGGTCTCGTTGCTGATGCCCCGGATGGAGATGTAGTCATCCACCGCCACCAGGTCCGTGTTGCGGTACCAGCGGATGACGTACTCGGGGGAGCCGCTGAGGGCACAAGAGAGGATGACGGTGCTGCCGATGCCTGTTTTGAGCTTCTTTGGTGTGAGGGTCACACGCAGAGGGTCTGTGAGAGAGGGGAGAAGCGTTGGCCGGGCACTGCAGCGGAAAGCAGCTCATCCCCGCTGCGCTCCCTCCGCTCCCCCTGCCCGGCTACGCGTTAAATGTCACCGCACAATCGGGCAGGTGGCACCGCCACCGTCCCCGCTGCTGACAGCCCCTGCTCTTAACGTCAGCCCCAGGCCCCCAGCTGGGGTGCTGTGGGGAGGTGGCAGGATGGCTGGATGACGATGTGGTCCATGTGACAGGGACAGTGCTGAGCTGGGGACACAGCAGGCTGGCTGGCACCGTGCTCAGCAGTGCTGCTCCAGGTAAGGCAGCCACAGTGGCTCTGCTACTGCCAGGATCCCGGTGACAGGAGGAACCCCCAGGAAAACAGCACGTGATAAATACTTGGCCTGCCCAGATGGTATTTACTGTTTGGCTAGAGCTTATTTTATGTAAATCGACATAAATTTTATGTAAATCAACAAAGCAAAGCACAGAAGCACCCAACACGTCGGACACGTGCAAGACAGTGGCTTCCAGCGAGCCAAACGCTGTGCCAAAATACAAGGCTGTTGTTTATACAGCTGTACAAACCCCTAAAGCTGTATATTGATAAAAGCTTTACGTGTCAGAAGGCAGCAGGACTAAACCCCCCCACGGGCTCTCACCTATGACGGTGAGGGTCCCCGTGACCTCTGCGGAGCCGAAGGTGTTGGTCACCTCGCAGATGTAGGTGCCGCTGTCCTCCACTCGCAGGTCGCTGATGGTCAGCCCCGTGATGCGCTTGGTCCAGCGGCTGTCGGCGGGGAGCGGCCGCCCGTCCTTGATCCACCGCACGGCCGGGTTGGGGTAGCCCGAGGCGATGCAGGGCAGCTCCACCAGCCGGCCCGCCTTCACCTCCCTGGACTGGAAGCTGTCTAACATCGTGGGGATGGATTCTGCCGGGTCTGGGTTGGGAGAGGAATTGGGCTCACCCGGGGAAGAGGATGAGGCGAGGTGCCTCAGGGACACCGGTAGCACTGCACCCAGTCAGAACCATCCATGAGAGAGGCTCTCCTCGTTCCCCTGAGCCCGTGGCTCTGCCATACAGGAGTGCAGGATGCACCCCATTACCCTTGGGGAGCACAGGCTGCCCTGTCCCACCCGGCCGGCACAGCCCTTGGTAGCCAGGACAACAGGCACGTGGGGAAGTGGGAGGAAAAACACATCCTAAATAGCTGATGGGAGGAATAAACTCAGCACCGGAGGAATTACTCAAGGTGACACCTAATTGGTGCAAAATACACAAATTTTGTGGCACATTTCAAAATTTACAAGCAAAAGGGCCCATCAGGCAGCTGGGAAAGGAGAAAATTAATCACTAAGTCTCAGGCGTGAAATTAAATTCCAGGGGAAAGAAACCTCTTTCATTACTCCCAAGCAGAAGTAAAACGCCGTGACGTGTAAATAATGACAGCGACCAGGAGGGGACCGGGCCAGCTCGAAACGCGCGCATTGGGGATGATACACCCGGCGACACCCACGCACAGCCGGGACGTGTGGCAGGACGGGCACGGCTGGGACCCGCGGGTCCCCGAGAGGCGAGGCTGGGCGAGCCCTGCCTCTCCTGCTGCCCTCCGGGCCGTTAATTCGGGGAGGCGGAGCGGGAGCAGCCGGGGATGGGAGCGGGCGCGCTGCACCGAGCGGCGGCCGCCAGTCGGGAGAACTCCCTCCCTCCCTGCCGAACCGAGTAATTTGGGCAGTCAGCGGAGCCGGGAGCGCCCCGAGACACCCGGCACTCCGGACTGCACTGCCTCCGCCGCAGTATCGCTTGCATCTTCGTCACATCGCGTCAGGCTGCTCACATCGCGGGCTGTCACATCGCATCGCC